AGAATCTCAAAGCACTTTCACAAACATCATAACTCCCAGAACTACAGCTCCAGCTTCCGTTAATAACTCTGTGATGCAAAAATCCTAACAAGTTTTACCTCCCCAAACTCTTTCCTACTACTACCCTTATGTGCCCTCCAAATCCACATAATTAGATGACATTTGTTCTGAAGTCACAAGAGGTGATATTAAGTCAGGGACAGACTGGGAGCTTTACCAAGTCACCATTTAATCCTAACACTCAACCACTGCTTGCCAGTGCTGTGAAGCTGCCAAGACTTGAACTGCTTCCCATGACTCAGTGCAACAACTGAGCATCACAAAAGCAGCTACAAGTGTCAGGGTTCAATAAGAAGTAGAAAAGAACATAACACTGGGCATACAGCAGGACCAGGTGGTTGCTTGCTTAATGGTTCTGCTTTCTAGTTGTCAGGAACTATCATGGAAACCTAAACCCAGAGGACTTTTTCTTGTTGGAACAAAAAAAAAAAAAATACACTGGAAGCACTGTCTAGAAAACATCTCCAGCTGCTAGCACCCACTGCTGAGCTTTTCTTATGAAGGGCTAGCAAGCAAAACTTGTAATGGTAGTAGAAAGAAAGGTTTAGTGGGGATTAAGTGAAAGCAGCCAAAACCAAAGCAAAAGCAATGAGAAGATGCTTAATTACCATGCTGATGGCAAAGCAGTAGAAACTGCAAGGTGTTTTGCCAGTGGCAGGAGCAGCTAGCAGTATACTGATGGCACAGACTTTTGAGGAATTCGGGATATGGGAGAACGTTGTCATGGTGATAAATCTCAACTCTTCCCCTTCCCTGTGAGAGTACAGGAGCATATTGCCACTGTTGGCACTGATGCTCAATGCAACAAATAACTACTACCTGCTCACTCTCACCACCACAGATGCTGGAAGCTGCAGCAGAATGACTGCTGGTACAGGAGGGAAAAGGAGGCAAAGCAGATGGAGCTGGGAGACCAGTAAAAGAAAGAGCAGATCATCTCTCCAACCACCTGCGACTAGAGGATTAGAGGCAAAAGAAACAGGCGCAGGTTACCAAAGATCCCAAACCACTGCTGTTACCACATAATGTGTGGAATAAAAGCAACAAGGACAAAATACTGGTAAGCACACCAGCTGCAAAAATTGGGCAGCACCATAGCGATAGTTTCTGCTTGCTATTTTTTCTCCAAAAATACTTTTCTGTGGATTTTTTTCCTCTTCTGATGGTCTTTTGCACTACCCCTCCTGATACCAAGCTTAGCCTATTGAAAAGAGGAATCTGGCAAGGATGGAGTCTGTATAATCTCACCTAGGCTCCCTTTCCCAAGGAAGGTTCGACCAGCTGATCTTTCGAGGTCCTTTCCAGCCTGAGCTATTCTATGACATCACGTTACTTGGAATGTAACAATGATGCACGTAGATGACTCATATTCCATGATATTTTGACCAAACTTTTCTGTTCTTAATTCTAGTCTAAATTTTATTTAACACAGATGTTCGCACACTCAGAGTAAAGCTGTTAATAATCACACTTCAATAGCAGCATTCACTTCTAACTCCTGCTGACACTACCAAAATTTTTTTTCATCTCCAAACCAAAATGACCAAAAAAAGAGTAATGTTAGTAAATGTTTATTAACAAATAAATTGAGTAATATGTGCTGTGGATTTTCAGACAACAGACTTCAGTAGGGCCAAGTTCTAGCTCCCCTATATCTAAATCAGCGGTATGATATAAAGCTTATATCTAAGGGAATTCCTTTGCTTGTAGAGCAGAACCTGGAATCATTAGGTGATTTTTAATTCCCATTACTCTAGAAACCACTCCAAGAAATATACTGGGATTACAGAACACCTGAAGCCTACAAGTCATAAAGGGCACATGCTACAGCTGGTTTCAAGGAGCAGCTTACAAACAAGCCAGAGCAGTGAATCACACTACTCCATGTACACCTCATTACAGCCTCTGTAATGATGATTCCAGCTACCACGCACAGAAAAATCAACTGAGCCCATAAGGATCAGATTAAAACACTCTACCCATCTCTTGTTAGACCCTGCTGGCTAGATGCCAAATGGTGCTGATTACTTCAGCTAATTAGAATTCTGCTGTAGGTCCTTATTATCAGTGGTCTCACCTACCTAAACATCAAGTCAAACAGCTTTATGTTTAAAGTCTCTGAGATCAAGTGTTCTATCATTTGTGAGTCTACAAATGAGGGTGTCAGGGCTCTGCAGACTAGAAGCAGATATGCAGATTCCAGGAATTTGCCTTATTCCCAACAACAAACATGTTTCAAGAAACATGATTCATGGCTGGCTGACATCAAAGGGCCCTTCTGCAGAATCAAAAGGGGTTTCTTTGCACCTAGTAAAGACTCACTTAACTTTTGGGAATGAGAAACTATCAGTAGACAAATAGTTACCTGCTCTCCTCACAGTCCAAGAGAAAATTCATGCTGTGCTCAAAGCATAGGTCTTGTCAGTGATCAACATCATTCAAGAGTACTCAAAAAGGGTAACCTATTTAACTTCTCAATATAGACACAGGCAGGTTTTGTTCTGCCACTCATAGAAGCGTTGGAACCAAGGACTTCATTTCAGTATTTGGACCATTAGAAAGAGAAGCAGTAGGAAAGGATAGTTTCTTTTTTATTACATACCAATCTCTGAGATGCTAATTTTACATTTTGATTGGATAAATCAAGCAGAAACAAAACCCTCTCAGGAGGCCTGAACTGACAAAGAGCAGACTAGTCCCGGGGAGGATGACCAGGAGGATAGAGGAGAGTAGAAATCTTGCTCTTTGGAAGGTCTGGAACTGGAAGCCAATCTGAGGACAACTCTGAATATGTGAAAATATGAGTAAGTGCAAGAGTTCTTCCCAATGCAACACCCAAGGCTGCATGACTGTCACTGTTGTTCACATTTTCTGGAAGCTACTAGATTGGGCCCATCAACTACAGGGAAAGAAGCACTGACTATAAAGTTATCCTATGAAGTGTTTAAGAAAGTAACTGCCATGTATTTATATTCTGAAGTGTTCCTATCTTCTATTGTGTATGTGATGAAACTGATTTGACAGCTTTACAGCATTCAAGCTCCTCTGACTTCAAAGGGTAAAATAATGACCCAATTAAAATGTCTTCAGTGGGGTGGCTTAACTGGGTAAGTTTCATTTAGTAATAGAGGTAACCGATCTAAAGTTTTAGAGAATGCTACCATTATTTCCATGACAACCTGTCTTTCTTTACTGAGGTCAAATCTGCAGCTTAAATTACTAGCTGCAGTTCTGAAAAGGTCACTGAGCAATGCCAACATACTGTGGCTGAGGATCAGAGCCCTAGTTAATAGAGACAGTCTTCAAGTCTGCTGGGGCTGTGCTAATAACTTCCAAACTGCTAAAGAGCAGTCTCTCATAATCCTTGCAATGGTTTCTTTTAGAAAGAGCAGGAGGAATGAAGATGGTAAGATTATAAACTAGCTTTCTCAAAGGATACCATGTAAATCATATTTTTGATTGCCAATTATGCCACTGTATTTAACTTTCAGATAGTGCAAAAGACCCAAGGAGTGAAAAAAACCCCAAAGGTACACTCCCAGAGGGGAATGGGAACAGCAACAATTACAAATAGCAGCTCTCAGACTTGATGACAGAAAAAAGACAGGAGACAAATGCAGAGAGCTAAGTGTTGAGTATATTCTTTCAGCTTCGAAGGATGACAGCTAGAGCTTCATGTAGTAACTTTGGATGATACTGGTGAGTTGTCACAGCAATACAGGCAGCAGTAACTTCTGTCAGACTGTGTCCATCAATAATCACAGAATCATCTGTGTTGGAAAATCCCCTGCAGCTCCTCCAGCCCAACCATGACCCTCACCCTGACTGTTCCCAACTCCCCCAGATCCCTCAGCACTGGCTCAGCCCGACTCTTCAACCCCTCCAGGGATGGGGACTCCCACCCTGCCCTGGGCAGCCCATTCCAACGCCCAACAGCCCCTTCTGCACAGAAATCCTTCCTCAGAGCCAGCCTGACCCTGCCCTGGGCAGCTTGAGGCCATTCCCTCGGGGCCTGGCGCTGGCTCCTTGGTTCAAGAGACTGTCAGACTAGTAAAGCATACTGTCAGACTAACGCAGTACAAACAAGCAGGAAGAGCTTCCTGTTGTGGTGGAGGAAGGTGAGGAGAAGAGAGGTTGTCTCATGCTGAGTTAACCATAGGATGAATGACCAAGACTGCAGTGGCATAGACCTTACTCAGGAAGTACACACACTATAGTCTCCATTTCACATGTACAGAAGAGACACGTTTGCATTCGCTGATGTGAAACTCTCAGCATATTCACCACCCCAGTTACGTACAGCAAATTCCTTCCTCGGGTGTTAGGAAATAATCTGCAGTCAACCACCTCCTGTGGCTACTTTCTTTCCTCATCTCCAAGCTTTCTCACTAACGCACATCAAAGAGTTTCAGCAATCCACTGTGCATTTTCAAATGACGACTCTTTCCTATACAAGATTAGCTCGTCTGGGAACTGATGTCAGGGGAGGCCAAACGACTTCCAAAGGCTTCTAGTCCCGAACACTTTAATTGGACAGTTCTTCCCATTAAGGTTATTCATCCCAGTGTATCGCCAGGCAGATCCTGCACCAGATTTCAGTAGCTTTGTTTTAAAAATTCTGCACTTCCAGACCAGTAACTCTAAGGAATCAACAGACTGTCTCTTACTAACAGCATCAGGCAACACAAAGTTGTCAGCACAGTCTGAGAGCAGACTGCTACATTATTACACCAGCACTGCAAATGTCCTTCCAGAAACACACATTACTTGAAAAATCGGTGAAAAGTGCAGTTAGTAGATATTAGGGATAGGTATTTGGGTCAAACTACTTAGAAGTAAAAAGGAAACCTCATTTTTTATTTTTTACATCATACAGTACAAGGCAGAGAGAGACAAACGCACTTTGTGGTTCAGGGCAAAGTCCTGTCCACAGAACTTACTTTGTGTTGGGAGACTTCCACTCATCTCTCACTGGCTGATCAAGCAGGGACATCATGGAATAATTATCCAACATGAGACCATCAGGGTCATCTGTCTGACCTGGGAGTTTCCCAAGAGGAAAGTCTTTCCATCGTACTTCATCTGGATAAAAACAGTACATAAACAAGAAGTCTGCAACAGTGATGTACGAGAGTTCCTCATCTTCTAATGGCTGCTCTTATTCCTTTAAATATCACTTTGCCTTCAACTCCTCTCCACCAGCCTCCTCCTCCTATCTTCAAGTCCTTCCATACATCACTCATCCAAAAATCTCAGCTACAGAACCCTCCACCCCAGCAAGAAAGCATAGCTACCATAATAAAGATAACAAAATACTGGATGTACCATTTATTCCCTCTAAAAACCCTTGCCTTTCTGTTTTCTTTTGCTTGCCACCATGTCATAACAGCAATTTTTCTGGAACACAGAACTTACGAGCATATGACTGGTGCTTTCCAGCACAGCCAAACTGTGCTCTTAAATACCCCCAAGTCTGACAAACAGAAGTCCAAGAAACATTCATATTTTCTTTGCCATTCACAGCTGGCATATATCTGCTGTCCCATCAGCTGAATACACTGAACTTTTAAACAGTTTGGAAAAGCCTGACAAAAAAATTTCATGGGGCAGTAACAATACGGTCCTGGAAAAAGCACTCAGAGTATTTTAAGAATTTAAGAGAGATAACTCCTGCAGATGACAGAAGACTGGAAAAAAACAGTTTTCAGTGATTTGGCATTTAGATGATTCTGAAGCACACTTTAATTCTGGCCAGGCCCAGAGGGTTGAGATGCCTCTGCATTTCAATTAACATTTGCCAGTGACGAAGACTATCTCTCAGAAAGTTATTTTTTTACCTGCAGTGATCTGCCAGGCAGACCCTTGCAGTGCTGCCCTCTTCTCAGCAATAGCCACCATGTTCCCAGAATGAGTAAGTCCTTCCAAAGGATTTGTTTCAGTTACCATCTCTTCTTCCTCTTCCTCCACCTCCTCTACACCATCATCTCTCTCCAGCACATCATCTTGTTTCTCTACAGTTTGCCCTTGATTTTTAACCTGATTTTCTTGCCTGGCCCTCCACTGTAAGCTCTCTATAGTGTAAATTGGCTGTTCACTGCAGTCTGAAGAGAGTCCTGGACTGGACAAAGGGCCACCTCCTTCTGTGTAAACAGAAGCAAGATAGAGAAGATTCTTCCGTGAAGAACGTGGCAAGCGAGGTCTCATGATTGTGAGAATCCTAGAAAAGAAAAAGGCAATGTAAAAGTCTTAAAAGCAAAAAAGATTCCAGACCAAGGCTTATCAAGCTGAGCAGCCTTTTAAGTGTGAGCTTCCTCTAGAACAGCTCACTCCTATATCTTCTCTAACAGGCAAATCTGATTATTCCCTGGTGGGTGGATGCTGGAATACTCCCTCGAGATTAAAATTAAGGACCTGGCATACTTCTAACTGAATTCTTGTTTTGTTGTTTTCATGGGAAGGTTACCACTTGTGCTAAATTGGTAACACCTGTATAAGCAATTACACCTCTGCTACCAAGTCATTTTTCTTCTGATCAGGTTGCCACTTTAATACCTCCTCAGATAATACCTGCTTTCATTTTGAAGGTGCAATCCTTTTAGGTTCTTCTCCTCCTTCTCTTTGTAGAATCAATGGGGAGATGAGCAGCGACAAGCAGGGCTTTACGTGTACCTGCCACAATTTCTACTGGATGTAAAGGGAGGGAAGGGAACGTGGCTATAGCTCAGCGTGTAACAAGGGAGCTGGCCTTTGGGGGTACAGAGTACCATTTGCTGTCCCTCTTCTAGGTCATGAGATCAAACTTACAGCTGAAGAAGGTGTGGGGTTGCCCAGCAGGGAGCTTCCAAGCAGTTATCGGTTAGTCTTATCCACTGCAAAGGAACTTTATGGAGAAACAGCTCCTTCACAGACACCTGTTTGTTACAGTGCTGCCTTTTCTTCCCTTCAAAGGAGATAATGAAAACAACACGGTGCTTAAAACTCATTAAAAATACGTCCTTCATACTTTTGTATTTTTACTGGAACACTCAAATAAGTTGGCATTCCAATCCACGTCCAAGACCAGTTGTACCGACCAAATACATCAAGGTTGTTACTAGGGACTTGCCAACGCACCGACAGCTACGATGCGACCACAGACGTTCCCAAGCTAGTTCTGTACATGCCATCCCAAACAGGAAAGCCGTAAGATGTGTTTGTACAGTACTGTCCCAAATAAATGCAGTGTACTGCTTCTGGGACCTGAGATCGTTCCAGACAACACTGCAGTGAGTAGACTGGGAGCTACTACCATTCAAGGATCTTGGTACACAGTAGATATGCTCAGCACTGACTGAAAGCATCAAACATTAACTCACGACTGCCACAGATACTAGCAAAACCTTGATGCAGACTGAGCCAGACTGGCAGAGGACAGAAGAGGTGGCAGAATTAACCAGCTGGAAACTTCCTCAGGGACCACCATATCGCAGTATAAAAGTCCTGTTGACAAAATTCCTGTGACATGCTTCGAATAATTAAAAATCATCTGTGCCCCTGTCTCTGGAGTGAAACGTGCAGTTTGACAATTTAAACAGTTCTACAGAGTTAGGAACGGAAAACAAAATATTACTTACTACTTTTGTGTAAATTCAGAAGGCAAGAAAATCCTGTGATAGGATTAAAAAAGGACAGCAAGAGTGCCTAAGTATTTTGTAAAGGCAGGCTCCTGGGAAAAAACTGGGAACAGGGAACTCATAACAAATAAAGATGTTACATGCAACCTGTTACCTGCCACCATTGTTTCCTGCAAGTACTAATATCTGGAAAAAATAGCACTTAAGGGCCTGATCTTTCATGGGAGGGATTCCTCTATTTTGAGGAGGCTGCAGCAGAGTTGCAATTAACAATTTCAATTTTTTGTTAAGAAATGCATGACATAAGCTGCAGGTTGAAAAGTGTAAAAAATGCAACAATATAAGTTCTACGTTCACATGACAAAATGTAATAATTACGTTACTACACTTTCCATCTGAAGGTCACACCACTCTTCTTTCGCAATAGTACAGAAAAGACTGTTAGGTTTGTTTGGTGGTTGTTTTTTGTTTGTTTGGTTGGTTTTTTACACACAGAAGTTCCAGACATACTCACCAGCGTTTACTTTAGCAATGCCAGTCAGCATCTCAGAAATCCAGTTGATCAAAAACTGAGGCCGGAGTTCTGTAGAGTCAGAACATTCCTTCAACTCCATAAACATTTTCTCAATTAGGATCTGTGTAAAACTTCGGGAAAGGAGGCCTGTCAGTAAAGGCTGCCAAAAGCAGTAAAATGTCTGAGGAATTTTGAACTGCCATACCTCTTTATTTGCTGCAGGAAGAAAAAAAATAGAGAAGCAAAAAAATCACTGTTTTGTAATTTTCTGTGAACCACAGGTGTGACACTTGTTACAAACTGAAGTAGTTTGTTCTGAGATCACTGGTTCCAGGGTATTTCATGGGATCCTCACTGAACCTGGAACTATTATTTTCTTATGCTAGGGAAGTAAAATAAGCAGCAAATTGGTAATTAACACAAAAGCTCAATGAAAAAAAAAAAAAAACAAGGCCTGATCTAATCACATGGTAAACCACCGGAAAATCTACCTGTTTTGCTGTTCCTTTTCCAGTTTCAGCTTATTTCACATATAATGGAGAGCTATTGGGTCCAAAAACATACTGCAAAAAGAATACACATGGAGCAAAGCAACACAGGATCAAAAGCTCCTAAATTTTCCCTACTGTAACATAGTCACAGAAATTTGTGGATCTTTCTTGAAATGTTCATTGGCTTCTGTTTCTAAGAGGCCCCAGGGAAAGAGACGAACTATTAATTCTCACTGACTAGGTACCCAATACTCTTCCAGAAAATCCATGCAACTCCACATGTACCTGCAGCAGCACAGAACTAAGATGTAACTGGTGAGTGAAGCTCAAAATAAACCATGTAGATTTGCTTCAAATCCTCAGTGTAGAAAAGAAACTAGTGGGAGTTCATGAAATCAGTTAACTTTGCAGATGAGAGCAGAGATGCAAGCTTCAAAACACGTTCTGGCCAGGCAGCATTCAGTATTGAATGCTTCAATCAGTGCTCAATCCTTCCATGGTAAGAGATTTATGCAAAAGCAATGGCTAAGCCTGGCCATAAAATGGTCTGGAGAACAGGTCAAAAGATGTTTAAGGACCCAGGTATATGAAAAATATGCAGAGAATTACAGATTTCAATATAATGACAAAAAAAATAACAGACTTGGACATAACACTAGCTATGCACTTTTTACTTACGTGGTACCCAAAACACTAACCTTCATACTTGATATTGAGCATCTTCAGACAATCCACCTTTGGGATGAGAAAGCCATCACTGAGAAGAGCTTCGGCCACTGTCTCCCTAGAGCAATCAGGGAGTCTTATTAATGCCATTAATCCTTTACGTATCAAAACACCACCTGCACCAGTTCTGAAACAAGTTCGATAGCCAAATACCTGGAGCTATGGTTGGAGGTGATGTAGCTTGTGACCATTCACACAATAACATTTAATGGAGAATTCCTCTTAAAGAAAGATAAGTCTGCACTTAAGAGAAACCCCGTGCCATATCACTGTATTTATATTGCTACATAAAGACCAATGGAAAACAGAGTGGGATAGGGTCTCCTTTTCAATACTGTTAACATGCTATTACTAATAAACAGAAGTAAAAGCTACATGTATGAATCCCTTCTGGGAACCATTTTTAATCATTTTGGGTTCTCAAAAGAAAGTGTGTGGGTGGTTCTAAAAAGCTGGATATAGGCACAGCCTTCCATTAACTATAAATACAACAGCTTGTGTTCTTTAAAAATTGCATCTGGATGCTGGAATAAAAATAGTATGAGATGAAGTAGGTGCTCAAGGATGAAATATGGGACTGCCAAATCCTAGAGCTTGCTCTAGCATTCTGAGGCTTCCCCACCTCTCTCTCCCTCCACAAGACAAATGTACTTGTGACTTGTCTGACTGTTCAAGCTCAGCCTGCTCAACTTGGTTCTTACTGGGATTTAGCATTTGTCCATAATGACACTTTTTTAATATAAGCTAGTGCAGTATCTGTTGAGATGCAACGTGGCCTTTGTCCTGTTATTACTCCGAAATAAGAAACAAAACGAAAGGCTTCCAGAGGACAGCTTCAGTAGAAAACACAGATTAATTGAAAAATCATCTTCTCTCTCAAGCAGAACTATTATTCAAGCAACTTTCTAACATTAAACAACATAAAGGCCTGGAATAGGATTCTTTATTAAGCCACCTGCATGTTGCAAACAAATAACTGCATGATAACAAGATTCTCCCTTAGGGATCCAGAGAAGAGAACAGTGGAAGTTGGGTTTTGAGACCTGGCTGCATGAGGCAAACTCCAAAACTTCCTAAATAAGTCATCATGGTTCTGTCAGGAGCCTGCCAAGAAGATGGCAAGAGACAAGTGGGAATTCTTTACTTTTCTCCTCCCTCCCAGCTCAAATTTGACACACAGTCAGGTGTTTTTAAAAAAGTGTAGTGAAGGTAGCAATCTTATTGCAGTGTTAGTCCCAGACTTTGCTATAGTAGATACATGTTCTTGCTGGGGGGAAAGAAAAAAGAAAAAAACAAAAAACCAACAACTGTATGCTTGTAGGTTGGTTGGTTTGTTTTAAATAGCTGGTCTGCAGAAAGGACACCCCAGCGAGGTTCAAGATGTGAATTTTTATTATTTTTAAGCCTTAAACTGATTTTCAAGTAAGTAATTTTCATCCTGAAGGATTAAAATGGGGAAAGTAGGCATAAAGAAGGCTTAAATAAGGGGAAGCATGGCAGCATCCGGCCTACACTGCTTGAACCAAAAACAGACATAGAGAACGGATAAAATGGCTCTTTGGTATAACAATAGTCAGTGGAAAAATTACTATACCTCAACGCCCTGCTAAAATCTGGTTCCAGTGGCTGCTGCCTCACACTGGAACAACTGTGGAGTTGAGCCTCTACTGTCACTCTGACAAAACATACCCATTACATCACTATTATTTCAGGAACTTTAGAGAGAACATTGTGTAAGTGCAACAAAACTCCTGCAGAGCTACGCGGTGATGCATGACTGGATCTTGCCTGGGGGCCTGGAAACTAACACCAAGCTCAAGCAGTACCCGCACCAGAGCCTTGCCCAGCACTTGGCTTCCAGCTGTGCTATCTAGAACAAAGGAGGCAAAGGTTAAGGGTGACCTATTTGACTTTGAAAAAAGGTGTCAATCAAATCCCTTGTTCCACTTCTTTCTATCTTCTGATAAAGGAATGAGAAACCCACCAGGAGAAATAATAAGCTGAGTGGCCAGACTTCCACATTCTCCTGTAACACATGCCCCTTCCCCACTTGGGCTCTGCCAGCTCCCAACAATAAGTACTTGTTTCATTATATTCACACATCTCTGCCCAAATCAAGGAAAATGCATCATTACAGCAGCTGGCCTATCTGACATCTATCGTTGACAACAGCAGAAAAATACAGAAAAGCACCAAAACTTAGCAGCAACCTGACACTGCGTTCCTGGGGCTTTCTGGAGCTAATACTGCTTAAAGAAGCAAAAGGAGTGGAGAGAGAGCCTGTAAAGTAAAAGGAATAAAGCTTTGGAAACTCACTGCCAAAACTGTTTCAATGCAGAAAGATGTATGTTTCCTTTCCACAAGTTTGGCCCAAAGTCTGGAATTGTGGGACCAGTATTCACTAGAAATAATTAGGTGTATACACACACACATAAATAAAAACATGCTTGCCAAAACTTCTCTCTGAACAACAAACACACAAGGCAGTTAAATGCAATTGCAAAATCTCTGCAGGAGTGTCACTCCTGAAGGCTTTGGCTCTTTGCTGGTTTTCAAGCTGTGAGTTGTGAAACAGTCCCCCATTCTTGGCTGCTGCAAGTGGGGCATGTCCCTGCATATCAGAGCCACTATTTTAACAAAGTTGCCTGATCATTAGGAGTCACTCAGGAAACCATGAAACAGCTCACAGAAACAAAACCCATCAGACAGAACATACATTTTTATAGTCACAGAAACCAGCTTCCTCCCCTCTGTTCCCTTTGTCTTATTTGAAGCCTGTGCTTAAGGGAACCATCAAAAAAGCCTTATTCAATGTAGCACAATGCAGTGAAGACAAAGTTCTTAGAAAAGCTTTTGATTTGGTTTGATTTCTTAAGAAATGACTGATATCCTACAGATACTGTATCACCAGACTTTTTGGTTGGAACAAATAATCCAGTGATGCTGTTTTTCACAGATTCTTTGCCCCATTTTTGAAGTTCTTCAGGCCACACCTAGCATCTGAGTTGCATACCCTTACCTAAATTACTGGGCTAGAATTTCAAACAAAGCTTTCAGAAAACTGACAGTGAAAGTAGGAAATGGAATCAGGCTCCCGGCATGTGCCACCTAGTTCTAGGACTTTCCCAGACAGATGACAAACTTTTTAAACTGCTTTAATTTTGGAAGCAGTATCTCCTAAGCACACCAATTCACTGGTGCCCTGTAATCCATGCTATCACATACACCTGAAGAAGGAAGAAATGTATAAACAATTCCGTCCCACTGCCACTTTACTTTCTAAAGAAATGACTGCAAAGCTGTGAAATTCCCAACACACTGTGCAGGAATTAAACGTTTCATTTATAATCTGCAGCTATCCTAAAATATTTCCACAAGTAAGTCTTTTTGAAAGACAGGAAAAGTCTAACACTTCCATCTGACTTACCAACTTACAAGGGCACAAGCCTACACAGTGCACTAACAACACTGAAATGCTGTAACTGCTCATCCACGGTAACAGCCTTCCAGAAGAAAAGATTCACACACAGACACTTTTGGACTAACAGAAGCTGCTCAACGCGACAACTGCACACATTCCTTCCAATCTAGAGGTAGTGTTGGGGGCAGGATGGTTACTTTTCAAGTCTTCTCTACATCTGCCAGACCAGTTTCCTGTAGAAACAGTAATGCAAAAAACGCTGCCTCGTTCTGCTGACAGCTCCCTGTATAGAACAGCATTCCACCGAACCACTTTAAAGCTTGAATTCAAGCCTGTTAAACTGTTTCAGGAGTGCCAGGCTGATCAGGGGAAAGCATGCTCTTGCTTATGTGCCCATTGGCCAGCTACAGCTCTGCAGGCTCCCCCGCTATGCTGCTCTCAGAGTTATTTGCCACTTGCTCAGGAGCACCCTTCAGCAGCAAGTGGAAAAATGTAACCAAGAGTATCAGCAGAAAAGCTGTTTATGACAAGCTGTGAAAACTGCTGATAACCGTGATGCTGTACACAAGCACCACTTCGAGTGAGACTACCACAAGTATCCTGGAGCTGGGAAATGCTCTGGAGACATTCAGTCCTCTGCAAAACAGGAAACTGCCTGTTGATGTCAGGGGGTTTGGGGTTTGTGGTTTGTTTTGTTTTGTTTTTCTTTAAAGTCAGTACTTCCAAAAAAAGAACAGAGATTCCCTGTTTTACCACATGCTCCTGGGTCAGCAATGGCTCCGTACTAGGATCATGCGTTATAAAATTAATCACACGTCACCATCTTTTCACCAAACAGGGCTCTAAAGAGGCTTCCCGTCCCGACCTATCTGCCCTCCAGCCAGCACAGACAGGCACAGTAGTGAAGGTTTCACTGACAGCCCTGCCTCAGAATCCCATCCCACTCCCTTGCTGTCCATCCTAACAGTTTAGGCACTGCTGAGATGGTGAATTCAGACTAAAGAGTTCTTCTGAGAATCGCCCATGAAAACACATGATATATATAGTGTCATGTGCTGAAGATAGACACTTGAGATTGTTTAATGGGAAAAATGTTAGCATGGTTTGGTTGTGCTAGTAGTAGAGAGGCAGCATTGCCGAGCCCTGGGAACTGGCTGGGTATTCCAAGGGGTTGTATTCTCAAACATGACACTAGTTTCGAGGGTTTCAGAAACAAAGCTGCCCCAACTCTCCTCTTCACCCCTCAGGACATGGTATTTTGCAGTTTGATGAGGACGACTCTGAAACACTGTTGCCTCAAAGGCCACAAATACAGTAACTAGCATATGAATTTTGAGTATTCTGGAGGAAGATTTAATTTGATAGACAAAATAGATTCTTGATTCTTTTGGAAATCCACCCAACTGGGACGGAACGTACGTTGTGCAGCTGCACAGAACAAAGAACAAGAGCTGATATAACAGGTGCTTCATACAAAGATGATGACAAACAACTGCTAGAATGGGATTTAACACATTTTCATGGGACACCACAAGTATGTTTTGCAGAATCAGTGCACAGCAAGTGAATCAAAAGCATATTTTCCAAGTCAAGAACTTGTTTTGATTGTATAGTTACAGGACAGTTTTGCACAGACATAAGCTAATAGGAGAGCATGCCAACAAGGCAGCATTAGAAAGACCCCAAATACATGGTTATCTTCACTACTTCAGTTTTCCTATATGGAAAGGGATTTCCTATGATCTTTTACCTGTTACCAATGCATTACAACTCTTGCCTGAACGCTTCCCACAAAATCCATTTCACATATGATTAAGTCTCTTGTTCTCACTCAAACCTTTCAAAACCCGTTTTGTACTGTGGCAGCCCGTCTCCCCTCTACCATGTAGCTGATGCCAGGCTCAGGTACCTATTTCTGTATGAAAGCAGCTGCACCAGGTCCATTTGTGTTCTGACAGCGGCTACCAGAGGATGCTTAGGGAGAGAGCAACAGAATCACAGGGAAGTGCAATGGCTTCCTTCCACCAGTACCTTCCAACCAGCAACAGACAGCTGAAGTGATATAGATAAAAGTCTCGTGTTCAGTAAAGTTATGCTTCTCATTACTGAATCTCCATGCCTTCTTGCTCATTACTCCATGTTCAGGAACCGATGGGCAATACCACCAAGGCACAAGTTTTTTCCTCAGGGTTTCCTTCTGGCACAACATCTGATAACCTCAAACCAATCAGCAGCTTGCAGGGCATATACATTTATACTCAAAACACCAGGAGTTACAGCTCCTATCTGTAATGTGATAGTCTCTCCCCTCTACAGTTGCACTGATTACTTTTTTCAGACTGGGACAAGATCTCAATGCAAATTTACACAGTAATACTGAAGACTCAACGCAAGGGGTCCTAGAGGCCCTTTAGTAATAGAAAGATAGAAGAGGCCAAGTATTACCCTGCAATTTTGAAGAATTCTAAAGGTTAGTGTGAAATCTAAGTCTATACAAGGTTGTTGGGAGAGCTCTTGAAGACACTAAAGATACTGACATGCCTCAGGGCCAGCACAGCTAAATCAGGGAAGACACTTTGGAGATTGTCTGTCACAGGAAACATTGCTCACTAACACAAATTAACTACTCAGTCCTCAAAGATGTTGAGGAAATCAACCAGCACTGTACCTTTCACCTCAATTCCGTATCAGAGATGTACCTGTTCTCTTGCATCAGGTCTTTGATCTGAGCCAAAATCCAGTCCACTTCTGAAGAGGAATCGGACCACAGTTCTCGAGACTTTGAAACAGACTGTGCAGTCTGCATAACCTAAGCAGAGGAAAAACCCAAATGTTAACAGGAAATAATGCAAAACAGAGGTAACTCACCACAAATAATCAATCTGTCTCCTTTACAATGCAACACAATACATATAAAATATGCCAGTACCAACTACAGAAAGGGAAGGATGAATAAAGGAGAATCATATTATATGCTCCAAAACCAAGACAATGAAGGAAATCGGTTGTTCATTTGCAGTAAAATTCCTGGCCCTAGTTCTCGCTGCTGTTTAAGTCTACGCTTCACTGGAATCTTAGCATACCCTCGCCTTTATCCCCTAACGATGTTAACAGAAATAAAAGTGAGAACAGCTCCCCAACAACAACTATACATTGGTGAGGTCACATCCAAAGACATTTTACATGTCTGCAACCCAGCTCTCACCACATCTTGAGAACTATCCCATTATTAAGAAGGGGAAACTAAGCAGAGAGAGATTTCTGGGGCAAATTATTTCACAAATCTGAACTGCAGCACCTCAGCCACTGGGCCACTGCAAAAATAATATGATGGATGATAGAAAACATGGGCTAATGACTTCTCAAGGACAGACCCCAATTTCCAGAGACACTAGGATGAATGAAATCAAGCTGAGCACTATCGTCTGGACAAGGAAGGCTTGGGATCTCCAGCAAGTACGTGTCTCATTCATAAACATGAACAAAGTATTCACGTTAGAAACCACTACAGCTCCACTTGCTTGTTCTCCACAGCGAAGCTTTACTTGGCAAGCCATGTATGACGACCCTAGGAGAGGGATCTGAAGAAGGCACTAACCAAGCCCCTCTCCACACACACAGCAGAGGCAGCATTGCTCAGGCAGGAGCACACAACCGAGGAAGCACCAGCAGCGCTGCGGACGCTGCATGGTGCCAGCCCAGTGGCACCGGCACAAGCACCGCTGCTGCATCCCTGACGCTTCTGGGAGGATCTCACTGTGGGAGGATGCTACAGGGAGAAAAAAGGAATCCCTGCAGTTGTGTGAAATAAGCTCCTGGAACAGCGCTTGGTCGTGCTAACTCAGGTATTTCAAATGAGGCCTGGCCAAGAGCACCAGTCCTAAGACTCATTGCCCCAAGCAGGAAACAAGAATCACCAAAAGTGCTAGTGCCAGACTGTACTTACCCGAAACTGCTCATTCTTGTAGGATATCAACACATCTCTGACCTTTTCTAGAATTAAATACAAACAAAGTTTAAGCAGGGAATGGATCAACTGTATAAGGGAATTTTTTTATCTGGGCAAGCTCCTTAGTTCTGATGAATACACATTCAAGGAAGACATCAGTCAAATTAAGTCACAAATTCTGATTCAGACAACACTCTGAAGACTCCTACAGCTCCCAGACTTTTTCAAGCAACAGATTTTATCAAGAGGGACTGAAACAGGAGTTCAGTATTTTATCACTAACAGTGGCCGAGGACAGTGAAGCTGGATAAATGCAGACAGCTCCAAAAAAAAAAAAAAACCCCAAGCCTAAATACATCAGTTTAGGAAGAAATTGTTTGCATAGGCAGTTCATGTTCTGATCCAGATTTGCATTCCTCATTTTAAAATCTACTGCAACAGCACTGTGGCTATTCACAAACCAACCATAGCCTTACTGGACTTTATTCAACTTTAATTTACCATCTACATAAAATGTCCTTTCTCTATCTGTGGACCACTCTTACTTATCTGCAATAACACCCTCTTTCAAAGCACTTTGTTCAGGTGTCCCTGCCACGTGCTATCGAGTGCCTATCACCCAGCACCAGCTAGATAAAACTTCAGATGCACCTGAGACTGAGACACCACTGCCATTCCATTACTCTGGACATATAAATCACAGAATCTACTGTACCATTCTGTGGTTCTCTCTTTCAGCAACTGGGGGTGGGATAGTTGGTTTTTTTTTTTAAGGGTACTCAGGGAGGGGAAGGAATGGCACATTCTTGTATCTCATCCAACACAAAGTCCAGACAAAAGCCCAGACATACACTCTGACAAGAGAAGTGGCAAGTGCTGCCGGGTTCCAAAGTTTAGCACTGCCTTGAGGTTTGGATCGTTCCAATAAAATCTGTATTAAACTCAAAGTGCACAACAAATTAGCTAACATTTTCTGGATCACAGCTACTCTATCTATGTATGAGTCTGTTATAAAGGAATCTAGAAAAGACTTGCAACAAATCCATAGATCCTAAAGCCAGAATGATCATTACAGCCACCTAACGTGACCTTGCAGGGAGCAGTAAGGGTCACTTCAGCATTTCTGCACACTCTGGGCCTTGGATTGGGCTGCTGTAATCACTAGGTGAGTTACTCCCCATAGCATGGGGACAGTGACTAATTGGTTTTACTGTTTGAGCTACTGTTTGATACCTCACATATGCTTCAAACTCACAGACAAGCCACATACTCTGAACTCCCACTTCCTCCAGAAGTCATTCAAACTAGAAGTCCACTTTTAAGGAGAGAAAAACTCCTTATTTTGGGTTCAAAGAATTCTGGTGATGGAAAGGCAATCACTGGAACAGTTTACCAAACTGTTTTCTCCCACTGTTTTGCACTTTGTATCTTAGATTATCACAGGTTGAGTTACCTGTGACTTTTTTTATACTATTGGCAGCTAGTGATTTTTCTGTCTACATGCAAAGTATTTTGAAACTAGCTAAACTGCCTTTTTCCTGCTCTTGCTCAAGTTATGAATCTACAGAGTTCTGAGGGCCACGGCCTTCTTTGTCAGTAGTGGCCTCAATACCAAAGCTGTGGCTGTCAAGACACTGTAACTATTTTTTACAACACTTGGTCCCAAACCATCCTAGTATAACTGTTGCTACTGATTAGCATTCTGCATATTCAACAGAACTAAGATTTTACGCTACAAATTGTGAGCTAATACCAAAAAAGTCAGTCAGCTCAAGAATACACCAAGGCCCAAAGAGGAATCCCAAAATGTGAGCTGAATGTGTATCTTTATGCATCGGCAGAGCTAATCTATATCTAATCCTTGTATACGCCATTGTTCTAGGAACACCCACCGTGGAACTCCTTGTGTTTCTGACAGGCCTCATGCTGTGGGGTTTGAATCTCCCATGCATCATTATCCAACTCCGCGTCTGCTTCCACCCCTTCTTGCTCCTCTTCCTCATCCTCACTTTCCTCGCACAGGTTATTACCCAGCTGACGACTCCAATACGTCTTCCGTAGCCAGTCCAGCACAACATCACAGCCTAAAGGAGAACAGAAAACATTCTCTTCTCAGTGAGGCTTTCTTTGTTATTGAAAAAAAAAATAGATAGATGGCAGATTGTTAAGTTGCCTTATGAACAGAAATGCTGTTAACAAGTTATGAACCCTGAAATCACATACAGCTCTGTTAACGAAAAGATGCACGAGTTTAAAAAAAAAACACCCCAAAACACCCCATAACCCAGTATCACAGGCCTAGTAACACCCACCACCCACTGTGTTTCTGGCAACAAAAAAGATCAGATACTGCTACAGCACCATTCCTTGCTCAAGCTAGGCCAAATTTAAGTGGAAACTAAGTCCCAGCAGGGGTGTTCTGATGAGAAAATGAGTCAATTCTTTAGCATCACCATGATCAACATAGTGTCTGTAACAACATTATTTTTTTCTGCAGAGAGTACACTAGGCATACATTAGATAGAATGGAAAAAAAACCCTTTTTCTCCCAGCACTATTTCACTACCCAACTTGATCTAAGGACCCTGCTGAAGGTTGTTTAACTGGCTTCTCAGTGCTAAACCCCAAATTCTCAGGAATCCCTTCAAATGCCAGGAGCTGGTCATTCATTCAGGCTTGCAGCACCTACTGCATTTATGGGATTTTTTTTTAACAGTCTCAGGTATCTCTAAACAATCAAGAAAAGCATCTACCTCTTTCCCTGAGATGAACTTCCAGTGCTGTAAAGAAGCAAGAGGGCTGAACTACTGTTTCCATTATTTTTTTCAGGGGAAGGAGAAAGTCTCTGAGCACCTGCCCTGTGATGCACCAAGAGCCTGGAGCCAGTGGACACACTTCAACCACCCACCCAGGGCAGCAGCAAACCCTCCTGGTGTCTCACACCGCAGCTCTCCCTGCCAGGACGAGCCTGCTGCCTGCCCCACAGCACCCCAGGACAGAGGCAGGGTGCTCCCCGCAGGGCCTGTAGCACTGGCACGGCCCCCCCCCCAGCACTCACCCTTGCGGCAGAGGGCCAGGCGTGGCAGCTTCCCGTGGGTCAGCTCGTGGCGCAGATCCACAACCCAGATGGGGATGTCCACCTGGAAAAAAAGCCGTGGCGTCACCCCACAGCTCCCACCCCATTGCCCTGCAGCTGCAGGCACTCCTGTGAGCTGCACAGAGCCTCCACCTGGGCGGGAACAGCCTCTTGAGGCCACTCCTGCCCCGCAGTCCCCCACTCCCCACTCCAAGGGCTGGCTGAAATCCCCTCCTCTCTGATCCACAACTCCTGTGGCCCAGGATCCATACAGACCTGGGACCTTACCGTTTAAGATATTCAATGTTACTTGCAACAACAGATGCCTTTTTAGACAGAGATGCTATGTATAATTTAACAAGATACTGAGAATCAGTTAAATTATATTTAAGCTGATGAAACCCTCTGGATGACAGTTTGTATATCAAAGATACAAAACACATCGTATATAATACTCAAATCATACACACTCTAAGTTGCATGCAATGTTTTGCAACTTTCCTAAGGACAACTAACTTTAACTATGCAAGACCTCTATTTTTAAGCTTGATCAGTTTTTAAAAGGTGAGAAGCAGCACCTTTCTTAAAAACCCAGAAAAAAAAAATCACTTCATTATTCTCACATAGAAGCCCCAGTTAAGGCTGCATGTACAGGAAAGCCTCATAAACTATCTATTCTTCACTTTCAACACTTGTTGTTCAGACCCATATACGATGCTCAGTGCATGTGGCAACTCAAGTTGGTCCTGCTGCTAAAATTCCACCTTGAGCCTTCCCTTCTCCACACAGAAGTGGACAAGCTCACCTCAACAAAAATGTGTGGTGCATATGTCAAGTGGGACTATTTACATGTAAATCAAGACTTTTGATCACACATGATTCAAAATGCTTTAATGATCACCAGCCTTTTATTCCTGATCCGACTTTAAAGAACCAAGTTGTAGATCTAGTTACATCAAGTCTCTTTAAAAGTTCACAGCTGAAAAGCGCTGGCATCTGTACCCATTATTTTGGTTACAAAACAATGACACCCCAAGACTTCCTCCACCCAGTGTTGCTGACAGACAATGCATGTGCTCTCTGTATACACATGGGTTATTGAGTAACTTATCAAATATTTACCTCTTTGGCTAATTGTCTCAGAGGAATGCTGACCATTTTCTGCTTCCTTTCTGTGATCAAGTTGACAAACCTGCAAGCAAGTTACAGAAAAGATAAATGAGCACTGAGAGCTGCAGAGAAACTTGGAGCCACAGAGAGAAATCCCACACATGCTGTGTAACATGTCGGTTCCAGAGACACGAAGTGAAATTAGAGGGCTGAGTAACACGATCTGTCCAGGTTCCCCCTCAAACAGCACAACGGACCTCAGAGCCCCACCTTACTAGAGCCAGCCCGTAAGAGAGGATGAGCTCATGCGACGGGAGGCGGCGGCTCCGGGGCCCCTGTCCTTCCCCTCAGCCCCGGCTCCGTGTGCCCGCGCCTGCGGGAGGCTCGGCCCCTCCTGGTGGCAATATTTTACAGGTCTTTGCAGTAGGCTGATACAATAAGAGATCCAGGCTGTAATTAATTTCGGGAGGATTTTTTAAGGTCTCTTTTCACTGTACTGTTCGCATAATCCCAGGAATGCGCTTGTGCTAGAGGTCAGAGGAGGGTAGAACTGAAACATGGCATGGAGAGAAAGCCCAGAAGGTGGAAGTGCACAGGAGCTGCTCACACTGGTTTTGCGGGTAGGAAAGCCGAGCTGTAGGTCCTGGTGCTATCTCCAGCACCTCAAAGAGCCTTTCCCCAAGGCTGTCAGAACTAGCGTAAGCTTTTTTGTTCAATATTCCAATGCAAGATTTTGTTTGCAGAACTGTTAATCATCTTCACTATCTCTTTATGAACATTCTCTGAAGAAATGTTTATTCTGGAAAGCTAAAGCTCCATTTATATCCTGTCACAAGTGCAGTCAACAAAGCCCCCCTCGCCCCCAGTTCAGACTATAACATGAGGGTGCCCGAGTGCACAGTTGAGACTGTGTGCAACTGAGTATGAGTGAACGGGAAAAAATCACAGAACGTCTGCCCTGAACAGAATATTTATTACATACCAAAGACTATGGGAAAGAAATGCTGAATGAGTTCTGTTAAAATACCATCTTTGAAAACTGTTTCCATTCATTTACAGATTCAATCTCCCCCCAAAAAAGTCTACCTTGTTCTTTGTTGTTAATAAATGTAGACCAGATTGAAACGAGTTTACTCAAAAGAAGTGTGAGGTTGAGGGAATGGATTTGACCTTCGTTGCCAAACTCCTGTGGTGCCTCATGCAGTGAAAGTGAATTCTCAGAAGACACAAGGCAGGGAGAAAACTTGGAACAGGGCCCTGTTCTCTGGAAATGGAGTTGCACTTTTCATCTGCTTAAAAAATGTTCTGAAAGGACAAGCTGTTTACTGCAATCAAAGGGTCTTATTCAGAGCATAGGAACACCATGTGTCACTTTGCTTGCCAGATTATTTCTGGGTTTCAGAAATCAACCGCAGTGCAAAGGTGGTAAAAGGCAAATACTGCAGTGCTGTGGAACAGATAGGATACATCAAACTTGATCAGAACTCCTACTTCCAGAGCCTCAGACATATCAGAAATCAAATTAAAGGAGTGGTTTTCATTCCTACTGTCTCTGGGGAGGGAGAAAGATGTGATGAGTTTGGTCTCTTACAGAGATGGAGCAAGGACTGAACTGGGGTAGTTTTCACATGCTTCACCTGCTTTCAGAATCTGGATGTAAGGGGAATTGTGCTTGTGCTGCTCCTCTGCTTGTGATGCCGGGCTGGGACGCTGCTCAGTACAGAATTGGGAGGTAATGGGCAAAGAGGGCTTGTTGCCCAGAACGCCCCCCCAAGATTGGCAGCAATTTGCCATTCTGGTTTCTGCAGCCTTGCGGTGGTGTTGGGCTGATAGAAGAGGCTGGGATTGTCTGTGGAGTCCCTGCGGTGCTTTGGGAATCCGGATGGTTGGGGTGAGTGAGGTTACTTGCACCTGCAGGTCAAGTGCCAATGAGGAGTGAAGAAACAGACTGCTCTCTAGGTGAAAGGCCTCAATGGGAAAACTTTTAAAAGAAAAGAGATTTCAGTGTGTCAGGGTAATACAGGTGGCAGGTTAAAAAGAAAAATCCAGCAGGTAAACTGTGATACTTCCTCTAAAGAGCCATGAATCTGCTCTCCATTCATATAACTGAAAAGGAAGCCCCCAGAGCCTCCCTGAACAGCCTTGCTCTTGCTGGGAACAAGGAGATTCATTTCCCTACTTCCCAGAGAGTTTGAAGTAAGCAGAGGTGATACCTAGAAATGGCCTTGGAATGTCAGCTGAAAGTAAATTTCACATGCAGCAAGCCTTTCTTCCCTGGGATTAACAACTGTGTGCCAACCTTCTTCCTGGAGTAATCACATAATAATGACAAAAAAATGTATTGAAAATCAGTGGGTGCAAAAGATTAAGCTTTGAGTCCTCCAGAAATGAAGAAAAAGCCCTTTAAACCATAAAAGGAGAGAGTGTGACAAGAAGATGGGTGGTCAGGTGGTTGGTTGGTTGGTTGATTTGTTTGCTCCTGTTGTTTTCTATATTATTTTTTAACACAAACATGAATAAGGCACAGACAAGAAAGAACAATACTCTGTCTGCCCTTCTGTGGCTTGACAGTTTAACCTCTAGTTGGTCCTAAGACGGTTGAGCTCCACGTATTTCCCAACGGCCCTTTGAGAGCGTGGAGCAGTGGGAGGCAGAGTAGCCAGAGCATATCTGGCCGTGCAGTTGTTGCCTTCTGGTCTGAGTGTTATTCCCTGGAGTGGGGAAAGCAGCTGCTGATAGGGCAGGGAATGAGAGAGAGGGGCCTCTGCATCTTTTCAGTGCTATTGGCTGGTTTTGTTTTCTGGCATCTATGAGACTTGAGCTTTGGAGACTAGCCATCGAACATCCTGTTTTCACTGAATTTGTCTCTGTTCTTCCCAGTCTCTTCTCCTTTCTTCTGGTTGCAGAGTTGCTGCAATAGCACCAAGGTAAGAATATGAAATGGCACTTCTTGGCTCATTTCTTATGTGGGGACTGTTATGTTTGAGCAAGGGGTATCCGGTGTTCTGAGCAGATAAAGGCAGGTTTAGCTGGGATCTCAACAATCACTGTGCTTTTTAGAGAGCTAGGCAACAGGGTCAATAATGCAACTCCAGATTTGCTGAGTGCTGAATTAATCTAACCTGCTTAGAATCACGCTGTGTAGATTCCTGTGCAGCAAGCCTGCACGCTTTCAGTCCTTATGCTCAACCCTGCTCTCGCTGAAGTTAGTGGAAGTTTCAGGATGAAACTGCATTGAGCTTCACATGTGCTGGGATTGGCAAGGACAGCAGATGGGCAGTAATTCTCTCATGACACAAGCGTGTGACCAAGCTGCAGCTTCCAGCCTTTTCTGGTAAAGCTGAGTGAGGATCTGTATGTAGTTCTTTACTTCTGGGAGCCCCCCTGGTGCAGGGCTTGTTTCCCTGCTGATCCTGGATGGAAACGTTTGTTGCAGAAGTGACCACTCCCATACTCAGCACTTTCTGCAAAACAGGCAGGGAGGAGGGACAACTGGAATTTCTGTGTGCATGGTCTCAGCACACTGAGCAGTCATCTCTGGGTGAGACTCCCAAGCAGGAAAGATAGGCAGGCTTGCTCTGCTACAAGTAGAGAAGGGCCAGAACTAGAACTGCAGGCCGTTGGATAGAAATGTGTAGGAATGGAGGAGGAAGGTGGAGGGGTACAGACAGTCAGAAGTGGATACGTGTGGTTGAAAGACAGCCCTAGCCACTTCCTCAAGAACACCCTGCCCATATTCTGCACCTCTTCTGTATGCTCCTGAGGCTATAGAGATCCTTGGTTTCCCTCCCTTCTTAGAATAATGTTCATAAAGAAGGGCTCAAGTTTCTCCCAGGTATGTTGCACTTCGAAGAGCAAAACAGGGGATGTATTACAGGAAATAAGCAACTGAGCATGCTTTCCAGTGCCAGAGGCCTTGGCAGCAGGTTCTGGTGCTATTCTGAGATATCAGCCAGCCCTGAAGGAGGAGGCAGTATGGTGTTCTGCATCTCTGTCTAGTCCAGGAATCCTGTGTAGAGATCCCAGGTAAGGGGCAGCTTCCTGCATAGGGAAAGGTGATTCACCTCAGTGAGACTCTGTACAGGGAGACTCAAGGAAAAAACATAACTCAGACAACCTAAATGTTCCCACTAGGCAGCAGGGTCTCTTGTGAAACTTGTTATGCCAGGCTTAACACGGGAGGTTATGGTTAAAGACTTCTTTGGAGAAGAAGCTGTTGATAACTCTTTTGCCTCTTTGGTACATCTATCATCTATTATCCGCAGTGTATGAACAAATGTGGTGAAACAGACTCTGGACTGTGTGCTCTGTCCCCATGGGGAGAAACTGAGAGAAAGCAACACAAACCAGATGTTTGTCATTTTGTTTGATGCATCTCCTGAAAAGTGCTCAGACAATATGATCATGGAGTAGAGTCTGGGAATAGGTACTGAACATGATGGGGAATGGCCTTCCTCCCTATAGGAGTTGCAGGTTTCAGGTACAAAATGTGCTTTAAAAGCACTGGAATGAGGTACCCTGGAAAACTCTCCTGTTACAAAACTTGCTTTGCTTTACTTCTTTTAATTTGTGTTCTTCTCTTTTTGACTGAAGATAAACAAGATCCTATGAGGACTTGCCCCTCCGTCCTCCCTCACAGATGGAAGGCTCCAAGGAAAAAATCACCCTGAATATTGGGGGAGTCAGATATGAGACATACAGCAGCACCCTCCGGACCTTCCCAGGGACTAAGCTGTGCAGCCTAACAGAGCCCCACGCCCCAAGCATCTACGACTATGATCCCACCACCAAGGAGTTCTTTTTTGATAGGAGTGCTGAGATCTTCAGCTATGTGTTGAACTATTATAGGACCAAACATTTCCACTGCCCCACTGATACCTGTAGGTCAGTCTTAGAAGAAGAGTTGGCTTTCTGGGAAATAAATGAGGCACAGCTATCATCCTGCTGCTGGCTGAAGCTGAATAAAAAGGAGGTGCAGCCAGAGGAGTTAAACATTTGGGATGAAAATGAACAGACGGATGACCAGTGCCTCATAGTCCAGACAGAAAGAAGGGATTTCAGCTGGCGAACCAGGTGGCAGCCAAAGATTTGGTCTATGTTTGAAAAACCCTTTTCCTCTTTCAGTGCTAAGGTAATACTATACGCGGAGATGGACATAGCCTTTGGAATTACTGGAATGAGTCCATGAAAAATGTTAATGGGTTCATAGCTTAGATAAGTATGCTTTGAGTCCCAGCGTAAAAATGAAAATAAAATTCTCTCTTCTCATTAAGAGACACCTCCTTCTCTCCTCTTCTTGCCCCTGGTCTCTGTACAAAATGCATGCCCTGTGCCTCTTTAAAATGTCAGGCATGCAGAGCAACAAACGCAAGTCAGAGACTGCAGAGGATGTTTTCTGTGCTGCTGGTATTTCTGGAGCCAGTATTTCTTCAGTGCTGAAGAGGCCCTCAGTGTGAATCTGGCTGTGTTACTCCAGCTGTCCAACATTTCCCCTTCCCTACAAACTCCGATATAGGAGTTCAGGTGGTTTTTCTTTGACTCCACTCTTCTCTATTACTTTTCAAATCCAGAAGAAAAAAATGCATTCCATGTGAGCAAAGCAATGGTAATCTTGAGAAAGATTAGTCTGGGACTGTACAGTGCCTGTGGAGGGGATCCTGGGGATGGGTTGGGGCAGGGAGGTTATGCAATACCTGCTTGTTGAACTCACTGCATGTGTGCCCTTTGCTCCCTCTGCAGTGCTTGGCTCTTGTTTCTCTGCTGTTCATCGTTGGAATTGTCATCATATTCTGTGAGGAGACCAAGGCGCAGTTTGAGTTCTTTACTGCTAACTTCTCCTCCAGTGGCCATTCTGAGCTCTCCCACAACGACCATGACCACTATTACCACCAGGCTGCCTACTTGCTTCATCTGGAGCTTTTGTGTGTCCTCTGGTTTACTTTTGAGTTTTCTGTGCGATTTTGTTTCTGCCCAGACAAGAAGTTGTTCTTCCAAAATCCCCTGAACGTGGTTGACTTCCTCTCCCTCTTCCCAGTTTATATTGAACTCTTTGTGGCTGGGCAGATTCAGAGAATGCCAAGCCTGGGACTTTGGTTGGGCTTTGTTCGCGTTGTCTATCTCCTCAAACTCCTGAAGATATCCAAGCTGATAGAAACACCACTGATCCTCAGGGTTCTGTCCTACACCCTCAAATCTATCCTCAGAGAGATTTGCATTCTGTTGATGATTTTGGCCTTTGAGACTCTCTTCTTTGGCTCTCTCTTCTTCTATGGGGAATTGCTGGGTAGTCATCCTTCCTACACAGGGGAGTTGCACATTGCTGACATTCTTGTTTGCTTCTGGTGGGCTTTGATCACACTCACAACAGTGGGCTATGGAGATATTATCCCTCTCACCACATTTGGCCAAGTGACAGCAGCCTTAGCTGCAGTATTTGGCATGTTAACCATTACCATCCCAATACCCATTTTCCTGGTGAAATTTAAAAGCTATTACGACATTGCTATCTTCAAACAGAAGCTGAAAAGGAGCAAGAAACCATAGTGCTTCATACCCTCTGTTCCTCTTTGCTTTTGGCAATAAACCTTCAGCATGATTTATGCCCTTTGGTGGGAAGGGAGTGCAGATAGTTCTTACTGGATTTACCTGCTGCCTCAGTGTATCTCAAACCACTGCTGAGGCCTCAAGCTGCAGTACTTGATACACAACTGATCAGACCTGTCAAATCCCACAGGTCTTTCCCATGTTGTACTTCATTCCATGCTTTTAAATGTCACAGTTTCTCATCTAGCTGTTTGGAGACAGGCTGTGATGCTGCATTACAGCCTGAACGTGCACCACATAGCTCAGTTCCACGACCTGGGGCCCCAGCACACTCCCTCAGCTGGCACACAACCTGTGATGCCAGCGATGCCTCCATCGCCTGACAGACAATAATCTCAATTTGCATGCTGGGAAAAAAGATTTTTGCATGGTCCTGCTCTGACAGTGAGGAGCAAACATGTTGGTTTTTTTTTTTTAAACAATGTTCTGTTCCCTCATTTTACCCAAACAAGCCAGTGCATCTGATTTGCCTGTGCTCACACACAGAGGTAAGGAAGGCAGCAGGCTGAACTGAGTACCTGTGGTCCCGAGAGCCATCACTGTTTGATAACCTACTTTGCGATCTCACAGGAAGCCACAGAATTATAGAATCACAGAATCAAAGAATGGTTTGGGTGGGAAGGAACCTTACAGCCCCTCCAGTGCCACCCCCTGCCCCGGGCAGGGCCACCTTCCACCAGCCCAGGTTGCCCAAAGCCCCGTCCAACCTGGCCTTGAGCCCTTCCAGGGAGGGGGCAGCCACAGCTTCTCTGGGCAGCCTGTCCCAGGGCCTCACCCCCCTCACTGGGAACAATTTCTGCCTTAGATCTGATCTAAATCTGCCCTCTTTAATATCTAATCCAAATCTACTGTCTTTGTTGTGGCACTTGGGAGGCCTCCAACAGCAAATCCTTTTTGCTCTGCTGAAGTCAATAGCAACCTTTCCTTGACCTCAGTGAGATCAGCATTTCACTGGGCACTTCCAGTGGATCAACACATTTCAACAGTTCTTGTATTTTTATGTAACAGTCACTGAGCTATTAGCCAAAATATCTATTTTTTGCTGTTCAAAAGGAAGAACATAAGCTACAGTACTCAACATCATTTTAATGTCATTTACTTTCTTAGACATAAATGTAAACTAGGAATATTTGTCTTTTAACTGGATACTCTTAATTGTTACTTATGGTTAATTTTGAAATAACAAATACTGTCGAGCTATGAAAAACCCCACATCTCATTGTTTATATAGCAGGATGATGTGCTAAGATTGTTCTGTTTAGTAAGTATAAATTTCTGTATACAATAACGCTTATGTATTTACATTTCATTAAGGCTGTATTTTAATTGCAATTTTGATTAAGTTTTGTCTGTCACTATGATTCTTCTGTTCAGGACAGCATTTTAAGGCTCGTTTTTTAAATTGAAATTCCCTCTATTCCAGTGCAATTACAATGAACTAGTTTCTGTCTAAAGAGGAAGGAAGTATTTCAGGCACAAAGCGGATGAAAAGTTGGAGACGCCCTGACAGTGGAAGGAAGGTCTAGGTGGGCTCCTGCACCTGCCTTTGCTGGCTGTGAAGTTAGGAGGTGGTTCAGAATCCTGCAGTGCTTACCTTTGTGTTTAGCCAGCTCTGCTGGTGTAAGTCCATTCTTCAGCAGGTGCTTCCAGGCTCTCTGGGCCCGCCCGTGCCGGTGCGGCTGGCTGAAGGCCGTGCTGCCAGGTGAAGGTGAGCACAAGGATGACACGGTCCCTCACGCATGAGCTCACCTGCCACATGCTTGGTGCAGCAAACGTAGCCTCTGGCGATGGGTCCTGGAGCTAGAAATCATGGAGGAGATGACTTCCCAGCACACATTGTTCGTTAGCCTGGCTGCTGTGCCAGACCCTTTCTCACAGCTGGGTCACGGACACACAGTCCTTACAGAGGGCATGGCAGGCTCGTCCTGAAAAAAGAGGAGAGGAGAGAAGCTTTGACAGCAGACTGGAAAAGCCTCCAGCAGGTTTCAGTATTAATAAGGCTGGGATTCACAACAGGGAGTAAGAGACACCAGTGGAATTTTACATCAGAGCTCTGGCCCCACCCAGACCTTCAGCCTCCCAGTGACCAGAGCACAGGCGTTACCAGGCGCTCTGGCTGCCCACAGGGGATTCAGGCACCACTCCTCCCTGTACAGTGCTTTAAAGTAGACTTTGTGAATGCCCACCCCAGATGCGATCCCAGCAGATGGTAATGTGCTTTTATTTTGAATCAGAATAAAAAGTCAAAAAGTGAATATCTCTCAAGAATCTGATTGCCAGGATGGAGTGCGGGCCAGTGGCCCTCGAAGGGTCAGGGAGCTGGGCGCCAAGCACAAACCCAACGCTAGAGAGCAGGGTCCCTGTCAGCCAGGACCCAGCTACACAGTACCAAGGGAGGTGAGGGGAACAGGACAGACACGGAGGTGGCAGCCAGGTTCATCCAAGACTTCTGCTCATGAGGAAAATTTGTAGTGATAAGAAGTGATTCTGCAGAGCAGAGTCAGGCTCACATCCAGTAACGGTTACCAGGGCCACACAGCCCACTGATCACCAGGCAGGTCCAGAGTGAAACAATCACTTTGAGAATACCAAACGGTTTCCTTTTGATTCGATAAAACCACTTGATTGCAATAAAGGCAAAACAAGAGAAAATGCAAACACAGTAATGTATTAATACAGATGTAAGATCCAAAATAAGAAAGATGTACTGCAGCATTTTTAGCTCATCAAAATCCTTCCATCTTTATTGATCAGAAGTAAAAAACTTACTTTTCATAGAATTATAGAATCATGGAGTATCTCAAGCTGAAAGGGATCCATAAGGATCGTCAAGCCCAACTCCCTGCTCCTTGCAGGACTACTTAAAACTAAATCATATGACAAAAAGCACTTTTTACTTCTTTCATGAAAATATCAGTTAAAAGAACATGTTCCTGCAAAACAGCTTAGGCTTTCCCAGCAGAAAATTCCCTTGCACATTGCTGACCAGTGCTGCTAACTTGTGCTGACCTCTGAATCGTCTTGAAAGATACAGCTCCGCCTCCTTTCATGTTCCCGGTGCTCCCCAGTGTGGAAGGATGAGGAGTTGCTTGTCACTGGGAAACACCAACAGCTTCACACAGTGCAAAAGTGATCGGAAAAGGGGCCTGTTCTTGGCAATACAGCTTTGCCAAAGCAGATGAGAAGAGTCCCTTCCCCTCCCTAGAGCACGCTTCCCTTTCTTGTGTGGAGGCTCTTTGCTGCAGATTTCCCAAGCAAGCGGAGCTCTGCGGGGAGTTAGTTGTGCTTTAGTGAGTGATAAGGGTGACTGTAGCCTCTGATCAGCTTTCAGTCTCCTTTGCAGTGCTTGGACAGGAGCAGGGAGTCAGGGCTCAAGCCACAGGTGATCTAGGAGTAGGTGAGAGCAAAGTCATGGGGACGGGTTGTATTGACACCTGACATGGTTTTTAGGTGGGTGGTTTCCTTAACCATCCATATCATGCACTTTGTGCTTAGAAGTCACTATCTTCCTAGGTTGCTACATTCACCGCCAAGGTTTATTTTCTTATCTTATTCCAAAATTCTTTCCTCTTTCACTTAAAGTATTTAACACAAATTGTCTCACAGTGGGTTAAGGACCAAACTGTCTCTGATGCTGTGCATGATAAATAAATTTGTGCCATGAGGTCTCTGCTAGACCCCCACAGCCTTTGGCACCTCCCTGTGAGCCTGGTTTCCAGGAGAGGTTTCTAAAGGAGTGTGTTTTGTGGTTCGTCCCCATCACAGCCAAGCACCTTCAGAACAGCATTGTCCACTCATCTGGAGCAGCAGAGAGAAAGAACAAAGCCTTCTGCGGTAAGACAAAGTGAGCCATCCTGGTTATCAGTTTTCTTGCTCGATGAGATTTTGAGGTGTAACTGCACACAGTGAGGTTCTTTGCTGCTGCTGCAAGTGGGAGCCTGACCAAGGCAGCCAAGTGTGCTGTGTCCCACACCCTTTTCTTGCATTGATTTGCAGCCAGCTTCATGCTCCATCTCCCTACCACTTTTGCCACAGCATGGCAGCAAATTAGCTGATGCAGTTTGAGCTTGTGTCTTTGAGACATGTGCAGGGCTTTTGAGGTGAGCAGGGTTCAAACTGAGGTTGAGGATGCTCACAGTGGCCATTCATCACTGTTAGGTAATATTAACTCCTACTTCTTCCCAGCCACTGATAGCCTGAAAGCAGTTAAGAGTTCAGTACTCCTGTCCCTCTCCTCTGAGTCTGTTTTCTTACCATTGTCTACATTCGATGGGCTGACTTTCCAGCGATTTTAGCTGTGTTAACTCCATAGCAGCCTCAAATATTCCAAAGCATGTGCTTTTTGAGGTTGTGACAACTCTCTTCTCCCTGTGCATTGCACATGGTGCAGTTACTGGACCCAAACTGCTCAAGGCTGCAATGAAGAAGCCACGAGCCCCTTGCAAGAAATCTCTTGGTCAAATGTTTCATTATGGGAAGGGCCAAACCCCACCCACTGTTTCTCTCATCCCCTAACAAAGGCTGTTACACATGCTGTTCACAGAAGGGATAGGATGTCAGACTCACTGTACCCATGAAATGGATGAGGGGAACCATTTACACAGCTCAGGACACTTTCTGAGAAACAAGCCGTGTTCTTGGCTACCCTGAACACTCCCAGCACCATGACTGGCAAGAGCTCGTGCCAGCGAGGGCACTGACTTTCCTGGGCCCACAGGGTATGGAAAATTTAGGGTCTGGTGTAGCACACTCCCACAGTCATTTAGCTTGCATGTACAGGGCATCTGCACAGCCTGGCTGTGGGCAGTGACTCAGCAGCAAAGGAATATTCAGTTGTGGATGATGAAGTCAGAGCCTGGTGAAGCCCCAGGCTCTGACTCACAGAAACCAAATGCATTTGGCATATGTGGGAAGTGAATGAAAGTTCCCAAATCTGGATCTTTCTCAGGACACAAGAACAAGCACCCTCAAGAGATAAACTGACTCTCAGATGGTCATGCTATTAAACTTCTGCTTGCTGAGGTGCAAGCAGTGCCCCTTCCAGATATTTATGCCTTTCTGTGTTTCTGTGCAGTTGTAGCACTGCTCTCGTGGACACACGTAGATTTGATGTTGTTGTATTTGTCTGAAAAGCTTTTCATTCATATGCCACAAAGTTTGCAAAGAAGTGATGGGAAATCCTGTGAATGATGGGAGGGAGTGTGTGTGTGTGTGTGTGGGGGGCCTGTCCACTTGCTGTGGCCAGGCAGTTTGTAACCACTCTTATGCTACTACATGTTGAACAAACCTTTTTTCAGTCTAAAGGTTGTGCCTGGAAAAAAAGCTGCTTGCAGTAAGGCTAAAACCTTCCTACCTAACACTGTGTATCCTTCTTTCAGCCTAACCCTGCCTGCAGAGAGCACTGGAGGAAAACTTGTGAGCAGTGACTCTCTCTCATAATTCTCCACCAAAAGGCTTAATTGCAGCCACCCTCCCTCCTGGCTGGCAAACTGCAAAGTCATTCTCCAGTGAGGCCACCTCTGTCACTATTTAAGAAGGAGACTTGAATGAGGTCGTGAGGTTGACTTTAATCGACTGCTTGCTTGGGTTTCTTTGAAACAAATCCCCACCATTCATTTGGGAGCAAAATATGAAGTGAACATCCTTCCCTGGCCCCAGCCTCA